GCTCTCACATGCATACCTATGACGAATGCAGGTCTGTGGAAGAAAGGCACGTATATTCCCTGTGTGTGTGTGTGTGTGTGATGGGTGAAGCAGAGTGACCAGAAAGCAATATGCAGGAAGGAGAAATGCAGCTTTGAATCATGGCCTGGGCTATACACCTCCAGCAAATATGTCAATTCTGCACATGAGAGGAAAGAGGTATGAACTTTTGCTACTAAGCAATAGGCCATTTTTGTCGGAAGTATTTAACTGATTTACTTAAGCAGAAATAGATATGAAACCATGTAATCTTACTTTAAAGAGTACCTGCACACTTAAATGTGTCTTTTAAGATATGAACTAAATGGGATGACTATTGTGATGAAACACATCAAGCCTGGTTTTAATATTGAAATTTCTTTCCAAATTTATAAAAATCTGCATTTTATGATTGAAAAGGGCTCAAAATGACCATTTGGGACTAATCACCAATCATAAGTCATGACATAAAATCAGCAGCCCCAACCCCACGGCTTCCCACTGTGCATTACAATCACAGCACAGCGGATTTAGCATCTGGCTGGTTAGCTAGCTAACGTTATCTTGCTAATTCCTCCATGTTGTCACGCTAATGTTACACTGGTTACAGAAAATGAGCAGAGCAGCGGGCTGGTGGCCAGCTGGGTCCCTCCTCACTGCTGCTAGGAGCCGTTACAGCCAGGAGGAAAACAAACGGCCGCTCCGGAGACGGAGACGCTTGGGTCCATGTTCAAAGCTGGCGTTCGCTCTCCTCCCGGCAAAGCAGTCTCCCAGTGGCGGGGAGGTAAGGCCAAGGGACTGCGTTTACTTCTTGTCACATTTGTGGTCTGATGTAAATCCATCAATGTCAGTGCTCCGTGCATTATTGCTATTTTCCAAGCTACTGAAACTGTCATCAGCTCTGGCTTTCGTATTTTTGTCGATGCTGCGTCACGGCTTATTTCATCAAAACTAAGTGGGCGTGGTTTCATCGCTCAGCCCCCTGTAAACTTTTTACATTTTTCAAAATGATGCAGTGGGTGAACTTAGGCCCATACTTAAAGTAAAAAAAACTATTATGCAGCAGAATGATAATACATTATCATGTATTATATAATGTGATCATTATTACTTATGCATTCTTATTCAAGCAGCAGTTTAATTATGTAACCGGTTGAGGAAGAGGTACTTTTACCTGTTTCAAATTTGTTTGGGTTGTTTAATAACAAGTCATATTTATCAGATGGTAATACATTTTAATCTGTGAAAGTATCTTGTAATTATAGCCTGACCGATACAGGATACGTTTTGATGTCGATACCAATGTATGATAGTTTAAGAAATATTCTACGATTATGTGAGCCAATAGCCTTTTCTTTTTACACGAACACATAAATAAAAATAAAAGAGACTGATATGTGACATATGACATTTTATGGGTAATCAATAAACTTGTCAGTGCTCTCTGGTGGACAAACTACTGTACATAATGGCAACACTGCTACCTCAAACGAATATTTTGCATTTCTGTACGCTATGTCTATATTTCGGCTGCAATAAGCTAATATTGCCATTCTATCGACTTCATTGATTTATCGGTCTAGTAGTTGTACGTGTCACTATAGGTAGCTTTAAGATACATTTTGTGGAGTCGAAATTACATGCACATCTGTAAACACGTGGAGTGAAGTCAAAGGTGACTTAAGTGTAAGCTGTATTTACATCTTAAGCTAGTAATGAAATCACAGCACAGCATCAAACACACGCACGCACGCACGCACACACACACACACACACACACACACACACACACACACACAGAAAGAGAAAAGCATTGTGTTCCCCATCAGCCTAACTTACCTGTTTTATACTCGCCTTTTAACCTGACAGACTCAAACGTCGCACCTCTCCCATATCACAGCCAGCTCGAAGTATCCCTGCCTCCGGGGCCAAAGCGTTTCAAATCAAAAGTAGAAGATGCGTTTAAAACGCAACTGGCTCCATGCCACGAGTGGAGTAAATCGTTGTACTTTTCGGCTTAATTACAGATGTTCACATCCTTTCCTGCTTCGCTGACGGCCGACCGCTGTCTCTGGGAAAAGTTCGTCCGCAGTTTTCCCTTATTGCTCCAAAAAATTTAAAACTGCCCACTTTGTTTTAACAAAAAAAAAAAGCGATGCCTCTACTTGTGGAAGAAGTGGAAAATGAGAAGAACTGTCAGCTGTTTGCTGGCAGGACGACAAAACAAGCGCGCTGAAGGCAGCTATCTCAAGTCCAAATCTGCGCTGATAAACCGACAACACCGTCGTCGGTTTGGAACCAGACTCCTTCCGCGTTGAGAACCTCACAATTGAAGGCGCTCTGCAAGTCCTAAGTATGAACGTTTTTGTTGTTGTCTACAGTCCCGATCTAAAGGCGAGATTACAGCTTTTTAAATAGTATACAGCTTTGTCCCACCCTTTATTGTCCCGCACAGTCTGCTCTGTCTGGAATGTGTTCTCACAGCGGTTTTCCTGTTGCTTGCCTAAACCTCTCATTTTCCTCTTTCCCCTGTGGACTGCTGTCTTCACTGCACTGAAAGGAATGTGCTTCAAAGACCCCACCATATAATAACATGCATGTGTTCAAAAACAAGAAGTACTCAGTACCTTTCCCAGTTTGCATCCTCCATTTTTAACCATAATCCTTTTAAAAATATATATAAATTCAGGAGCCAGTGGAGCCTTTATTATGTAGCCTTTTTTAACAACAATGATCCCCTCCAGACATTTTCTAACTTTCATATGACATTTTTTTTTTTGCATCTGATACATTTATGTAGCCTATACTCTTCTCATTGAAAAATCCAGAATGATTATGCAAAACTGCAATAACGGAAACAATTGACAGTTGACATAGTGGGTTGATAGCAAACAGTTGCTTATTTACACATCCAACTTCTGGAGTCGTGTTGCTCTCCACCGAAAGAATGTCAGTCAAATATTCAGTCTATTAGCGCTGCTTCTTGTTTCAACCAACTCCTGATGGGAATAAGGCTCTTTAGATGCTAAATGCTCCACCATGTTCACCAGCTTGTACAGTGGGTTTTCAGAGCTATTTCACTGAAAACAGCTGCCTGCTGTGGCCAAAAACGCTGCTGTGAGAGCAGTGAAGTGGGCCATACAACTTAGCACTGAAACGTGCTATAAAGCTGCGTAAAGCTGAAGGGAGATCCTCTCCATCTCCTCCTTTAATTGATGGTTATAAAAGGGCACACAAGTCCTGAGCTGTCTTCCAGGCTCATGACCCCACGAGCGAACGGTGCCGCATATTCAGGTGATATTTCTCTGCAGGTTAGTCTCTACAAACATTTGCCAGTGTTTTCACGTTGTCATGGGGTACATTGTTATTCTAAACTTTCCACCTTAAATGAGTTAAACGTGAAAACGGCCTTAATGTCAAACTCTGCACATACATAATTCTGCACAGTAAAGGTAAAACATCCATTTGCAGTAATAATAAGCAAAACACATTTCTGAGTGAAGTGGGACTTTAAGATGATTTTTGTTTTTGTCTAAATAAACTTCACTTTGCTAAACAAATTGAGGATAACACAATGGTGCTCAAGTGCCTTTCTGTTATTGCAGTTGTGGCCGTCAAAGTGTCTCTTGGATGCCAGACAGACCCGGCTGTGTGAAAACACTTCACTCAGCAGAGCCTGAGAAAGATGTCTTCATGTCTGTAATATAAATCCCCCCCCCCCCCCCCCCCCCCCCCCTTGTTCTCAGGCGCTGTAATCTTTCACTTTTTGGCTTAAGACTGAAGAAACAGCTGGAAGCTCTCATATCAGCTGTCACGTAGAAAAAAAGAGCAAATTGTTGTTCTTTTTTTAATCAGCACTTACTTTTCTTTTCTACCAATCTCTGTGATTCAAAGAGCCACACTGTCTCATTCCCTTAAGATTTTTTCTGATAGCTTATATTTGTTGCATAATCTGCTAGAGTCGAGGAAATGGGATTTTGCTTTAGCAGACATGTTTTCATACTGTGAGTTTTTCATGAGCAAATTCCTGATAAAGGGAAGACATGTTTTGCTCCCAGTTGGTTAAAAGTAAATTGTCAATATTTTAGCTGACACACAGCTCGTATTTGTGCTTCACAGTGTGGTGCCTCATTTTCAGAGGGCACAATCTGGTCCAGCCTATGTGTTCTAACTGTATGATGTTATATGTTTACAGACGTAGACGGGTTTTAAGTCTAATGCGTTCCTTCATAGAAGTCTAGAGAGGGTTTCATTTTAAAGTTGACCTCAAGTCCCCCCCCCCGAGAAGAGGAAGTGAGCCAAAATACTAAAAACATAATAAGAAAATGTTGAAGTTGCTATGTTGATGTAAAGAATTTAAAATCAAAACGTGAAATTTAACTGTTTTCAAAGAAATAATTCCATCAAATATTTTTGAGCACATCAAAGCAGCCATATAGATTTTATGTTACTGCCAATAAAAGCTAATTGCTATGTAATGATGCCGCACATTGGATTAAAAGATTACTGATCAGAGTTCAAAAGCCATCTCGTGCCACTCCAGAGAGCGCATTATAAGCTTCCTTTCCTGCATTATAGGCTTCCTTAAGAAGCTCAAAGTAACTTTGGGAGAGAATTACCAAGACAAGAGGCTCATCCGTCACGCGCATGCCTGTTAAGTTAATGTTGAATTTCTAGCGTGTAAATACAATATATTCATGTCGTAAAATAGGAAAATGTTTCGGGGAGTTGTGTGAGAGCGGTATCTTTAAAATTGTAAAAGTTTGTTTTTCAGTCACTGTACAACAAATGTGTATTACGTCCTGTGACCACACTAATATACAATATCGTGGTTCTTTTAGATCACCGAATCTGAGGTGGAGTGCAGAAAAACAAATTCACTTAAAAAGGTCAGTAAATTTATTCCAAGCTTGCATACAAACACACGTTTTCATGAGTTTATTGTGCCTCCTGCTTCCACTTTAAAATCAATAACCCCAGAAATGATGCTCTATTTGTTCGTAAGAACAGTATCTAAATACATTATTTTAATAAAAATTATTTAAATATATTTAGCTGTAATCAGAACAGGTATTGCAATTAAAGCTTCATAAGTTAGTTATGATTTGGTCAATTACCAAGTTGGTCTATACACAGACTATTTTTAAATGCACCAATGAAAGCTGGACCCCAAAAGAGATTCTCTTGCCTTGACGGATTTTTAAGGTATAATGCCCGACGTATCACAAAAGATTTCCTGAGTAACATTATGTGCAAATAGTACATACATGCATACATATACATACATATGCAAAGGTAACTCTCCACGTGTGAGGTCTGCTGTTGGTGCCAACACATTTTTGCAATCAGCATTAATGTTGTCCAATTAAAAGCCAATCAAACATGGTACATTAAGCTCATAATCATGATCTGACAAAATTTAAAAATATTTTTTTTCTGCATCTTCACTGCTAACATCATTCACATGCCACAGCCTAACAGTTTGAAGTATTTCAATTCATAATAAAAGGCATCCGGTATATGCTACATGTTGTATACAGTGAAGATTGAATAACCCTTGAAAAATAAGAGTGTTGACTAGATCTCATAATAGGGACTGATTTCATTTATATAATGCTGTAAAATGGACTTTAACTTGCCCTGGTGGTCGTATTTGAGGGATTGCAGGAAACACTCAAGTATATTGAAATTGTGTCAGCTGACTGAGCAGTTCTGATGTCAATCGGACAATGTATGATAGCTACAGTTCACTTCCTGTTTCTGAAACTTTTCCAACAGCATTACTCTCAAGAACCATAGTTTATACATCTTATAGTAGTTGTGTGCTGACAGATCTTCATTTCTTGGTCGTAAAAAGCAGCCACTGTCACTTAGAGCTTGTGGAGTAGAGGAGCAAAGCACATAGTTTCAAGATTTGTTGTCTCTTTTCCCTCCGTTTCACATCGCAATCGTTCATTTGCTGAAGGCCATTGCTCACATGTACTGTGTAAACAGTATTTGCTATTGCTTTGGTTGTCTTGCAGTTAAATTCCATCATTGAAAATACACAGACTTGTAAAATCCTCACAAATGTACAGTGTTCTCCAAATGAAATAATGTCATTGCAGGTGTTTGTGGTCAGTGAGAGTTAATCTACCAATCCTCGAAGGAAGAAGTCAGTCATACTAAGACATGTCACCGTACGTCTTCAAAACCAAATAATATTTGGTTCACAATTTTTCAGTTTTCCAAAGTTCAAATCCATCAATCGTTAATTGCTCACTTCCAAAATTGTTTTGCAATTTCTTAGTTTTCTGTTGAAACAGGCCTCACTGTAATCACATATGCTCATTCCTCACGCATGACTTCATCACAGTGACATTTTCTGAGGAAAAGAGAAAAACGATTTTCAATCAATGATCCTCATTTTTGGCTTGATGAATGTTTGGACCCCTTCTGTTTTTTCTCTTGTTCTTTTTCCTTTTCCTGCTGCTCCTTCTCTCTCTTTTTCTCCTCCTTGGCCTCCTTGTACTTCCAGACAGGAGGCTCCAGGTAGCCCTTCTGCCTTTTCTTCTTTTTCTCTTTCTTTGGAGTGGGCTCCCCAGATTTTGTTACTTCAATCTTGGGAATACATCCTGAGGGGAAGATGCTGTTCCGGTATGCCATGCTGCGGGGAATGAAGCTTTTCATGCCACCTGACCTGCTATCCCTGCGCTCTGTGTCCTGGCAGCAGGAGGTCAGAGATACAGAGTTGGCTGACACAGCACCCAGAGAAGCTGAGGTGGTGATGGAGCCTTTACTGTGGGACACGGTGCTCTCCTCTAACTCCTTGCTGCTGTGCTTTTCAAGCAGCTCAGGGACAGCAAACCGTCGCCTGCCAATCGCTGGGGGGCTGGAGGGACAGAGTGGACGGCAACCAGTGGCTATCAGGGGGCTGTGGATGCCTGTTGTCATCCGCACCATATGGTCCATGACCCCATTGTCTTGGGGGTCATGAGGGAAGGTGAAAGAAAGACTGTCTTTTAAGCACTGCTGCAGCTTTTGACTGTTTGTTTTGATGGCTGTGGCCTTTGCTACCAGTTGCTTCAGCTCAGGCCACTCAGGAATGTAGCTGTCACAGAACTGCTCAGCGACAGAATGAGCCTGCAGGCGGTGGATTCTGTTAAGAGTCTCAAACCCTCCAGTCCTAAGGACCCAATCCTTTAGACCTCTATCTTGGACCAGATCCAGTGCATTCATATCTGCACCTGTGCATGAAAAGGGGAGAAAAATAGCAAAAAACACCCGGTAAAAACAAGGAAACAAGTTAAAAATCATTGGATGCTGAGGGATGTGAGGAAATCAGTAAAATGACCCCACCATGTGGTCACATTTGGAGGACAGTTTATTGAGTAGATGTGCACACTTCCAGAAGGGAATCAGGCCATTTCACAGCATGGTGAAATAGGATATAGATTGATATTCGGTGAAAACAATGTACTAAAATCAGGCCAGAGTTCTGCGGATTTTCTCTAAAGCTATCTGGTTCTAATAATTCAGTTTCTCATTATTGGAGGAATATGATAACACGCTTAATGAATAATCAAGGCGTTAAAACAAAACCAAGAGTACCAGACATATATTTCTATTTTAAACATGACTCTGTTTGCTTGTAAAATGATCTGTCACTGACATAATTGAAACTTTGAGTAGAACGTGGTTGGAGAGAAAAAAAGACCAGATTAGTTTACTGATCACATATCCTGGTTTACCCTCTAAATCACATGCGTATAACATCTATAGTTTTTGGTATACATTTCCCTGGGCTGCACACATTAGTTGTCATACTTTCATCCTTACTGTAAATTGAGTTTTCCCCTAAGCCATTAAATATATGGTGATGGTCTGCACCAATGTAGGAACCTGGGCTTATTGCCTCTGAATAAATCTATTTTCCATGTGTGCACACACACCAGATGTTCCTCCTGCAACGTTTACAGGAGGTCTTATGTACCATGAACGTACCATGCATTAACAGGGCGGACACACACTCTTCTCGGCCCTGTAGGCCTGCCTTTATGAGAGCTGTGAAGCCACGGGGATCCCTGACTTCGGTGTCCACGCCAGAGTAGAAGTTAAGGATATAGTTTAAAATAGTCACAAAACCTGGGGAAAAAACAAACATAATGTCAATATGGTAGATTGATGAATTGAGACTAGATGTTGAGGTTATGTGGTGTATATGTCATGAGACATACCTGCCTGAGCAGCAATCATGAGGGCGGTGTTGCCATCATTGTCTTGGTGGTTGATGTCTATTATTGGACATGTGTGCAGCATGGTGACTATGTCTATGAATCCTTTGCCCACAGCCAACATCAGTCCATTCTGAGGGGGAACAATGTAGAGATAAATGCGCCTTCATGACTATCAAACCCTTTTTGTTGGAGAAATATATATTTCTGACTTTGTGTCAAAGTCACTGTTATAAAAAGAGAAATGAAATCCAACTCACCCTGCCATTGATGTCCAGGTCATTGGCCTCGTCTTTAGTGACTCCTCTCTCCAGGATCCTGCGCATGGATGTGGGATCATTCCGAGCGCAGGCCTCATACAACGTTTTAGCCGGCTCTCTGTGTTTTTCCTCACTTTCATAGTCGGGAAGCACCGAGTCGTCAGAGAGCACACTCCCTGAGTCAGAATCATCCAGGAGGTTCTCCGAGTCCTCAGATGGACCTGCGCCCAGGTGGGGGTCATACTTTGAGGTGGCCATTGGTCCCCCTTCTGCCTGGGATCACACCTGGGTGTCAGGTCTGCTGCTCACCATCTCCATCTTGAATAGGAAAACATGAATAGTTGTCATTGTGGACACAAACACATGCTGTGCTCGGTGGCCACATGCTGCTGATATAAACATCTAAAAGACTGTAACAACTTGAACTGATGCATCTCATGTTCCAATTCAGGTACTGTCAAAACTGTGTGCTTATCCTAATGAGAAAGGCGTTGGTGACTGCAAAATATTTGTGTGCAAAAGGCATATCGGTTCCGCATTTCTATTAGTGCCATCTAGGATTGTGTATGATTTCTTCCCCTCAAAATAAGCATCTAATGCAAGTCTGAACGCACGAATGACATCAATACATTGGCAGCTTTCGAAGTTAGCGTGTGTATAAGGCACAGTGCCTAGAAGAGGATGATGAGCTTCACCTCACCTCCGCCCTCCTGTTAGAGCGGCTGATCTGTTTGCAAGATGTGTAAGCTGACTGTGCAACATGCTTTTTGCCAATGCCCGTTCACTCGCTCAGCCCATTATAGAATAGAAGAATAGAGTGAGTAGTTATAACTCAGAGTAATATTTTCCCTATTATATACTTCAAAATAATGAATACTCAAATGTATAAAAATGTGCAATACGTGCATATATATATATCTACAAATAAATAACAGGTATACGGTTGATGGTCAAGAAACATTGTACAACTGCAGAAGCTTGGTCTGTGAAAAGTCATGTGAATGAAGGCATAGTAGGAGGAATGTACTGGGTTGAGAAAGGCCATATGGCGCCGGAAGCAATGGGAGGCCAGGCGAGTGACAGCATCTGTCATGGTGTCTTACCCGTGCCACACTGCTGAGCATTAGAACTGCACTTTGATATCCAGTGTTTTTTTTTTTTGGTATAAATCTATAAAATACAAATGTTATGTTTGTATGAAGGATATTTTGAATCCAGGGATGACATTGTTTCTCAAGGCTCAGGCTTAGGTTGGGATAGACGTAGTCGTTCTTAATGTTTTGAGCATGAGAAAGATCTCGATTGCTCTCCAGTGAGGGATTGAGGGTTTCAGTCTTCAAGCTGCCCTGCACACATCTCTACATCATATCCAAATTAGGCACAAATTAACACAGATTGCACTGAAGCAGTTTTGCACCTGCTGACAATGTTCTAGAGTAATAGCATATTTTGGATAAGCTCTCACTTAATGCCAGATAGCACTGCACACCTTCTTTTAATACCACAAACACATGGTCCTATTTCCACATTGTGCCATGCAGAAGAATGAAGATTACAATCCCATAAACCTTTCTCTCTCTTCCTCCTTCTGCACAAATATAGAATGCTCCTATTTTAACTCTGCCATTGTGCCTTACACTTCCTGCTGAGCAGCACCTTGTTATCTGATCAAGCTTCTTCCGCTGGATCCCAAATATGAGCTGTGGAGTGTAAAAATATGTGCAACAAATTGAGCCAAAGCAAAGTGAAAGATTTCTTGGAGCAAATAGTAAATGCAAATTCTTACCCTAACGGATCCACGGATAAGTCCTCTTCTCTTTCTTCTTTAAAAAAAAAAAATAGTTCTCAGTGGTTGAACCATACTCATTAATTGGACTTCCCTTCTTCCTGCTGACTCTTGGCCAGTTAGGATGCCTCTCCAGCCTGCAATCTGTCCAGGTACCAACATAGACTCTGCTGTCCTAAGTCAGGCAACATGCTCTCTCCCTCTCATCCTGATTACAGAAGATTTAAGGATTAAGAGAAAGAAACAGACAACAGCCAACCTTGCTCCCCTTACAGTCTGTTGAGCTATAGTCGGCTCACTTTTTCGCCTCTCTCTCTCTCACTTGTCTCCTCAGCTCTCTCTGAATCTGTCCATCCACAGCTCTCGGCTGCCCGTCTGTTGTGTCAGAGAAAACCTCTCTTAACTGTCCAAATAAGTGCTGTGACTGAATCATGGAGGCTATGGCTCCTAAATCTGCCTGAATAATTTCAGTGTGTCTGTGTGAGTGGAGACAGCCTTTTGGGCCTGTTTTCTCATGTAAATCCATTTGCAGGGACAACAAACTAGCCCTGCTGTTACTTTGAGCCAGGGGGCCTTGCTGGTAATTATTCCCATGACAGGGATGACACACACAGACATGCATGGAAACACATGGACATTCTGTGATGCGTGCAAACAAATGCTCATATACAAGAGGCCTACACACAAACACAGATCATTGAACACACAAACTCGTGCCGCCAAAGTTTGAAGCAACTGATTTGCAAAATCTGCGTGCTTAAGGCATTTAAAAAACACAGCAAAACATATGTTTATTATCTGCTGCTTCAGAACCCACATTTTCATCTAATTGTCTAACTTTGTTACTCAGGTATCTTTGTGTCAACAAAAATATCACAAGTTTGAATATCCCAATATTCCAGTTATAAAAAGATAAATTAAGACGCTTTAATTAACTTTTTTACCAGTTTGACATTCCTTCTGTTTGAACTGTAACCACAACCCTTTTGTTTTGATGGTCGAACCCCATATGTGGACGGGAATATCGCGTCAACAGGTTTATTCACAGCATCGCAGACTTAATCACGTGGCATTAAAAGGTTCATGTAAATAGATTTAACCCGATAGGGAATTGGAGTAGGACCAATCTGTGACTTTGTGCATGTGAATGTAGCCTGCCTTATGCAACTGCTCCTCTCTGTTAGCAGGGTGCACTGGCCTCTTCTGATCAAACTGGGTAATGCAGTGTTGCCCTGAGACATGAGCCCTGTTCATGTAGTTCATCAAGATGTTTAGATAGCTGAAGTTTATAAAAGGAATCCTCACTGAAGGTTCCAGCTGCTGTCTATATCACCTCCAAATATATCCACCAACTTACAACAAGGCACATCTTGTTTGCTCTGAACTTACATGTTGCCCATTGCACTTTGTGAAGGAACATACCATTAAGAAGTCAAATGCCTCATGCCAGCACTGTTACGAGCAACACTATTTCAATATCAGTTGTCGATCATCGTAGAGCCCTGTGTTGGCCGAGGAAAGCCACTGTGACAAATTGTGAGTCATTCAAAAGCATTTTGATCCTGAGAATTATAGTCGCTGATCTGCTCTGAGGAGTTAACTAACAGAGACATGTTGTTAATACCAGCCATCTGAAGCGGACACACCTCCAACAACATAATCTCACTAAATCCCATCAAATGCCCCAACCAATTACTTTTTAGAAGCTGCCTATTCAGCTGTGAACCACCAAATCAGACCTATAGCATCACACTAACCTGATCCATTACTCAAACGTTGCTATGTTTAGACACAGGAGCCTGAGGTGGGTCTTGACTTCTTACTGATATGAAACTCAGGAAGAGGAAGAAAGGGCATGCTCGGGGGTGAGGATTTATAGCTTGTGAAAGGCCAAAACAGAAATTAAGTTGATAAATGCAGAGGAAAGGGATGTTAGTTTGGCACAACAGGGTGGGGTAGCTGTGTGTGTGTGTGTGTGTGTGTGTGTTTTCCTTTATCCTGTTTGATACACAAGAATGATCCAGCAGCTTTACCAGACGAGGGCAGCACAGCACACGTAGCACACATCAGCAGTTTGTGTTTATCTCAAAAGAAAATCCAACAGATTTTTACAAACTATTACCAATCCGATGAGTATGAGTTAAGTTAAAGAACATTTTGTTCTGACTCCCACCTCCTGATATACTAACACTTTCCTTTTAGGGTCAGAGTTATTTTACTCCTATTCTGCAAATTCCAAGCAGAGTCATTCACTCATCACTGCAAAAGGCTGTCCAACTTTTCCCCAGACACCAAAGTACCCAGGAGAGGTCAGTGGTAGAGCAATAGAACTTGGAAAGAGGCTTGGGAAGCAATTAACTAAGTTTAGCCAGCTTAGTGACTGATTCTAAAGACAGCCATGTGCTCAGCTAATATTAGACTGTTGGCAGTCTCTTCAAGACCAGTCCTATTAGCACTTTGCTCAGACTTTGTGAGCATCTGCTATATTATTTCCAGCTATGTGGTTAAAAGACAGAACCCCCCTAAGCTATACTTGTTCTAAAGAGTCTAAATGTCTGCAGGGATCATATAAATGGAAGGAAGCAGGGTGGAACAGAGCTAAACGTGTTCATGTACGACAAGAAGGAGATTCTGGGTCATTTGGCAGAAATGATTTCAATGAGAAGTGGAAGTGTGGCGTGTTTGTGCTTTGACTCAAGGGTGGGTGAATAAGGTATGAGCAACAACTACTAGGCAGAATTACACCTGCTATGGGCTGGGTTAGGGTTCAGTCAATGAAACAAAAAAACATGGCTTCTTCATTATACTATTTCACTCACTCCTAATAAGTGTGTAGATATTATTTGAATTTTTTTCAGAATGTAGGTCACACAGATAGATGATAGAGCCCCTAAATGGAGGGGAGCGATATTTCAAGGCGATATGCCATAGTCAGCAATTACTGAAAATATTTGTTATTTTCCTGGTTCAACAAAGAAATACAAAAACTAACCAGACATAGATGTTTTTGAAACATTTCTTGTAGTTTTATTCTCTTGAAATCTTAAAGAGTTTAAGCATTTATATCAGAAAGCAACACAGTAAAAGTTTTTATGGGCATTTTATGTCTTCATTAGATAGTGTAGTGAGATGACGGGGTATTAAAAAGGTGATTTATTGTTGTTATCTGGGTGTTTTAGATGTTATTTAAATTTAAAGATTATCTTGTGATATGTATCTTGGCAAAACCTCTAGAAGCCCCAAACAACACATAAGTGGAGACAAGGGTTTTTCTGCCTCTCCCTGCACTGTATATTATTTGTTATTTTTGTTTGTGTATTTTTACACTGTGCAAATAAACTTAAACTTATTCAAAATGCTTCACATCATATCAAATAGGTGTGTTGATTTCTGATTGCTTCAGGTGTGTTAATTGAAAATTGCCGCATCCTGGGAGGCTATTTCTTCTGTGTGTGTTTGGCAAGCTTCTGTTTGACTGAAAGCAAAGAAACTGGCTGTATTCAGTGGAGGGAAGTGTGTACATGCATTTCATCAAAGAGATGTCTTTACATGACTTGCGGGGCTAGCTTTCATCTTCTACATTTTTTTTAATCTGTTTTGGGAGTAACCCTCAAAAAAAACGAGAACAATAAATTTGAAGAAAAACACAATCAAATGATGGAAGAGACACAGAATAATTAAAGCAAGATTCCAATGAAGACACCAAGATGGCAGCCACCCCAATAACCCTTGGCTTAGACTGTATGACCAAAACAGAACAGCGTGAGGATCGCTGCACATGGGCTCAGTGGAACTTAAAACTTTGAGACATAGGTTGTCCAAAAATATTCCTGCAGCAATCTGGAAATACTCAACTGTCTCAGACAGTTCAGAAGGATTCACAGAGTTTATAGGCAAAAAAAAGATGCTAGTTTCCATGTGATTTAAAGCCGAATATGGTCTTAGAATCTACTGATCTACTGATCAAGACTTTGTATGTTTCTCCAGGTTCAATGTCAGCGTGTCGGCTTTCTGCAGGGATGATATATTTTTGTAGGCCAACACGGAAATTAACATTGGTTCTGCAATAGTTCCCTCGACAAAAACAATGGGATTTTTCCATTGGCTTTTAGATTAGCGGAGAAAATAAGCTCTGTGGCAAACAAACGTTTATGGTACTTTCATTATTATTATTATTATTCATTGTTATTTGAAAAGTAAATACTGTGGCCAGAAGTAAAAAGCTGACATTAGACTATAAATGAACTACGGCCGCATGAATTTACATTCCCACCACTAAAATAAAGGCAGACTAGTGTTCGGTTTAGTAGTCTTATTTAGCCACTTGTTAGCAACCACGTTTTTTAACCCTCATGTTATTCAATTTGATGCCAGCAGTTTAAACATCTAGAAAATGATTGTATTTGGAATTATTACCCAACTTTAAGTCAGGTTCTTTGTGTCGGTTTGTTGACTACCTAAATACCCCTTAAGATGAAATCCCCCCTCAAACCCCTTTATACATCAAGAGTACCTGTTACGTGACTATAAGAAAATATGCAAATCACCATAAAATCTCACAGATTGATGTAAAATTGGAAAGAAAGATGTGTTTGGTATTTGAATGGCTTCATACAGAAGTTCTGGCTTGTTGTTTCATTCTGTCCCCAACATGGTAAGCTTGCATTTCAGCAGTTCCTCACCCTTGTGTAAGATCACATGCGATTTAGTGACCTTTCAGTCCTTCGACCATGTCTAGTGCACCTTCATGCCCTGGTTCTCCTCAGGTGCTTCCCCAGTATACGTACACCTGCATATTCCAGGCATAGCTGGACTTTGCATCACATGCTGCCTTTATTTCGATACCCTATTTGTACGGGTTTGTTTGCTATATATTGTCTGAAGGGATAGTGCCCACGGAATGCAACCAGACATTCATCCACAGTTACGTGGGGGTCTGGATTGTAAAGAAAGGAAATTGCTGGACCTAATGGTCCCATGAATCCTGTTTGTTGTTTGTCACAATGCATATGACACAGAAGAAAACATGGAATTTCTGGAAGGTAAATGCCAAAAGAGACAGACAACAGAAT